ATTCCTTTTTTAAATTTCGTGCATAATTTTTCTCCTGAACAAAGCAAACGTGGAAAAAACTTCAGAGCGAAACTTCCAGATTAAGGTCATCCCCAAAACATTTGGTAAAGAAATTACATTCATTCCAAGAAGAGTACTGAGCTTTTAACATCATTTAAGTCTTATTACGCGCCCTTAACCCTTTAACCCCAAAGAGTGACCAAGACAGAATTTCTCCTTACAGTATCAACACAGAATCAAGCCGACAAGTAAGGAGAAAAAAGAAAAAACTCAATTAGAGAACTACAAGTTGATCCAATACCAAATTCTCCAAATTGAAATCATAAGTATTTTATGGCAGACAGTAGGGAGAAATACTAACGAGATGTTGGGAGTTAAAGGGTTAATGATAAATCATCGTCGCCTCAAGGGGTTATCTGTCTCAAAAAAATTTGAAAAGCTGACATCTACGATGGGAGTATTGTCAATGAGTGTGCTGACGTTTTTCTTCCTCCAACTGATTATTCATTTTCCTTTCACTTCTATTTCAGACTTATCCCTGCACCTGAAAAAATTCGGTCAAAGACCTCCTCTTGAGAAATTTAATCCGTTTTGTCTGACAACTATGTAAGTGGTATTTTAAGATATCACGTTGTACACTGAAACAGCTCAGCACTGAGAGGGTAATTTCATCTTCACTTGCGTTTTTGAGCTATATCAGTCCCCGCCAACGAACTATATTCTTCCTCGGCTGTTTTAAAGATCGCCAAGACAGAAATGGATGCAAAGAGGAACGTCCGCACGAAATCTACCGAAAATATCAGCAGAATTTCCGTGGCTATTTCAGTGACTTCTTTAACTCTTGTGACATTGTTGTTTATGAGGATCGAGTTTGTGTACAACAATTCGAAAGCGATGGAAACAAGGCTTGAAAACCGAATTCAGCGGATTGACGATGACCTGAAAACTTACATAGAGAGAATAGTGAAGAAGAGGTTACAAATTTATGATACTGCATCTACAGCAAGAAGAAAGGAAAGGCCTGATGTTATCTTTAGTAAGTCGCTGGTTACACGTACCTCAGTTCTATTAGCTTTTAATAACCAATACTATACAGCATCACAGCACAAAAGGATTTATCGTTAGTTTGTCTCTCAATTCTATAAACAGAACACTCGCCACAATTCTACTGCCGTTGATTGTGAAAAAAGACAGAACGAAAATCTATCTTATAAGTTGTATTTTATTTGTATATTATCCTTCTGCCAAGGGTATTTTTGGAAAAGGTCAAACTCAGCTGACGCTTAAAATCTGAATTATTTTCTTTTTTCACAAGCTTTAAGCGAAAGGACACGCGTAAGGTAATCAACTAGTGAACGTTTTTATTTATTTGCTATACTCAAGAAACTGAATGGTTATCGAAAACATCCGCTTTCACATTACGGTAATGTAGGGTGGCATGCATTCGTGCGTCAGGCCACCGAAGAATGCAGATTGGATCACGCGACATTTTGTTGAACCAAGTCGTTACAATTCCTACTGTTTTAAGTTCCTGAAACAAAACAGTAAACATTCTCATTCTCTTAGACTAACGTGTCTGATCACTACCAATTTTTGGCACCGAAATATATTTTGACGACAGTATAATTGTTATCTATATTTTGGCGAACAGCCCGATGCTCGATGAACTTACTTGAAATCTCTCAGCTGACAAATCTCGAGACTAAAGGCAGCTTCAGACAGTTCTCGGACTATTTTTAAACAAAATTTATAGAAGTAAAATGTTCCTTTAATGAAAATATATTCTGGTCATAGCGTTAATGAAATGAAAAGTTCTTTAACTCTGACTCCATTTGATGTCGAGTTATCCATTTTTTGCACTGATTTTATTAATTAAAATTTATCTTAAGTTGTATTTTATTTGTATGTTATCCTTCTGCCGAGAGTATTTTTGGAAAAGGTCAAACCTAACTGACCGGCGCCTAAAATCTGAATTATTTTCTTTTTTTATACGAAAGAACACGCTTAAGGTAATCAACTGGTGAACGTTTTCGTTATTGCGTCGCTTTACTCTAAAAACTGTATGGTTATCGAAAACATGTGCTTTCACATTAAGGTAATGTAGGGTGACATGCATTCCTGCGTCAGGCCACGGAAGAATGCAGATTGGATCACGTAACATTTTGTTGAACCAAATCGAAGTTATAACTCCTACTGTTTTAACTTCCTGAAACACAACAGTATACATTCTCATTCTCTTAGACTAATGTGTTTGATCACCGCCAATTTTTGGCACCGAAATTTTGACGACAAAAAAATTGTTAAATATATTTTGTGAACAGGCTGTGACTTTAAGCGCGATGCTCATTGAGTTTCCTTGAAATCTCTCAACTGAAAAGTCTCAAGATTAAAGGCAGCTTCAGACAGTCCTCGGGACATTTTTCAACAAAATTTGTAGTAGTAAAAGGTTCCTTTAATGAAATATGTTCTGGTCATAGCAATAATGAAATGAAAAGTTCTTTAACTCTGGCTCCATTTAATGTCGGGTTGTCCATTTTTGCATCGATTTTATTAATGTTTTAACATTTGCGTATTTCTCTTTTGTCTTCATTTTCTCATTTTTTCTCTTCGCCGTAAACATCGATTGATAAACGACTACTTCACGGCAGCTTATTCTGTCGCATTTTAAAAGACATTATTTCATTGATCCCCTGAGAAATATTTGTTATCGTAACTTGTGCAGGTTTTGAAAACAAAGTTGGAAGTGTGTCATCAGTTATCCGTGATCATAAAAGAGAGAGAAGAAATGTTGCTGCAGGAACAATAACTCTGCAGCAAGTCCGCCAGGAAATCAACAACAAGTTCAATCAGTCCTGCAGTGGTAACAACAAGATTTGTCAGACAGGACCTCCAGGTCTTCCAGGTCCTCCAGGTGCTCACGGGTATCCAGGGTACAAAGGAGAAAAAGGAGCCACAGGGAAAACTGGCTCAAGAGGCCCTCCGGGTCCAATCGGGGCTCCAGGCATGAGTGGCAAGAGAGGACCTGTGGGACCTCAAGGAGTAAAAGGCGACAAGGGCGACAAAGGGTCCGTTGGAGCGCCTGGGATTAGAGGAGAGACTGGAACGAAGGGTCGTCAAGGACAACAAGGATCTATTGGCTTAAAAGGAAGCAAAGGCAGCAGAGGATTGGTTGGTATTCAGGGACCAAAGGGAGAATGTGTTGTTCCACTGAAGATCAGTGTATATCCAGTATCTCAGGAAGTCTTTGTGGACGAGCCTGTAATATTTTACTGTTGGGTTCAAGGCCATCTGTCGTCCAAGATAACGTGGCGTAAACTTGGAGGTACTCTATCTAATGCTACTGTGGAAGATGGTGCGCTTCGAATAAGCAGCGCACAACGGTCAAATGCTGGGTCGTACATGTGTACAGCTCACACTGGTTTAGGAATGTTCCGAATAATAAGCAGATTACTTGTAAAAGGTAGGGTGTTTAACTTTTGAGCGATTTTCAGCTTTGCTTTCAGTCGTTCGAAAGGTAAAGAGACCAGTGTCGTTTGTTTTGCGAATAGGTAATACCCCTAATATAATCATCATGGTTATTCAGTTTTATGGATCAAGTCTTTTCTAATACCAAGAAAACATAACCTGAATGATTCTTGTGTGCCTTGGTTTCGGTAAAGCTGCTTGTCAAAGAGTGAAATGATTATGATAAGCTTTGTCTCGTTATCTTTAGCTCAGACTTTTAGGATATTCACCGCGTTTGTTTTTTTCTGTTAAATCGATCTTTTTTCATTTTCCAGAACTGCCTAAATTCACCAATAGGCCCCCTACATTGGTCGGTGCATTTCCAGGAGCTAATGTAACCCTGTGCTGCGAGGCCTCAGGCTCTCCTCGTCCAAAGGTTGAATGGTTCCAGGCCCAAAAGTCTTCTATCTCATTTCCTGTTTTTCGGGAAGATGGATGTCTTCTATTTAAAATGTTTAAAATAAACGACCGAGTAGATTTCATCTGCCGGGCTAAAAACAGCTTCGGATTGGCAGAGACAACAACCATGGTGATTGCAGCACAATTAAGAGGTATTATTTATTAGTTACTTTTACCGCAGAGCTAAAAAAAATATGTAAATGGAATATAGTATCTATTTTCTTTAAAGCACGTAATGTTTGTGTAATGGATCCAGCATTTAAAAAATATCCCAAAACCGCACTTGGCTAGCTCATGGTGTAGAGCGCCGGACTGCCATGCGAAAGGTCGAGGGTTTCACGGTAAGGGTCTTAAAATAACTGAGGAGAATGAGCTGCCGCTACCGTAACATCTGCAAGTAGTTAAACATTTTAGGTTTCTTTGATAAAGACGATGAACTCTTACGTCTCTCTGTACTGGTTAGCAGGGGAAGTTAAAGAACCCTCGCATTTCTCGCAAAGAGTAGCGAACATATATAGCATCCGATGTAGTGTTCTGGCCTTGTTATTACTTAAACCAGCCCCATTTAACAAGCTTTAAAGCTGAACTAAGCCAGCAAGTCTAACTAATCGCAAATAAAAAGATAAGTAAATAAGTAAAATTTGCTGTTATTTGTGCTTATTCACTCTTATTTGTTCTGAGACCAAAACCGAAATTGAATCCTTTTAAACTAAGCAATTGAATCAGGCTGTAACTCAAGTAGTTTAAGGCCTGGGTTTTATCTTAGTTCGAGACCCCCAGCAGAGTTCGGCCGATCCTCGATTTGAGCGTTCACGTTTTCCAGGAAGTTAAGATCGATTTCTAGCCTAAATTTTTCAAAAGACGCTGTTTTTTCGCAGATTTCAGGTTTACAGTTGAGGTTTTGTGTTTTTTTTTCCAGAAATTAGCTCTAATTTGCTATAGCTGCGAATTTACTAATGCGTACACCATTAATTAAGAGCTTTCAAGGAAAATGCACTTTTTTGGTTTATTAACCTTGGAATTAATTTTTTTTTAGTACGTTTGGGGAAGTTTCAGGAAAAATTTCCGCACAGCCCCATAGTTAATTATGTATGCACATCTTATTGGTGATACATTGAATAATAAAGCCCAATATATGGATGCATAATGAAGTATGGGGCCGTGCGGAAATTTTGCCAAGTTTTATTCTCATCAGTATGGGATGAGCGTATAATTTAGAAACCTCGGTGTGTAACCTTTCCCATAGCGTAGAACAATTTTTTTTTGTTTTTAACAAATCTAAATACCGTGGTACGTTCAATCCCAAGTCATAAATTTAACTGTGATTTGCAGCACAACACTTTTCTGGGCAACATTAAAATGAAAGTGCTGTGAGTCCTATGAGCTTCAACAAAAAGAAAAGTTATCAATCAATTAGGCGACAATACACGTACTTTTCGAATTAATGAGGAAAATGAAAGCTTTACTTACACAGTTGTGTTCTTACATGAACAGTGAAAAATAGAATTTTGCTGAATCGATCACACGAGAGTTGTCAATATCTTTCTTTTCTGAATTCAGGTTTGGAGCAATCAGAAATACTGGCATATAATATTCATTACCTACGCACTTTGGGAATTTGGTTAAAACCTGTTGTACAGAGCCAGTCCTCTTACTGGAAGCGGTGCTGGCGAGCATCAGATGATGGTTGGGACAGCACTACCTTCCACTCAAAGTGTGACAACAAAGGGC